CCCGGCTTTGCAACACAGGTTAAGTCCCTGCTATCTGCTCTCCCTCCCAAGGCAGTTCCCATTCTCCATCCTTTTCAGATAGCATTTAACTATCCAGATTAAGTCTCCTCACACACCTAAGCACACATACCACCACCACCGGCATGGATTTTGCACCAATTCCGGGATTACTAGCGTCACTTGCTTTATTAGGTTGTACAGTCCGTTGGTGGGAGGCTTGGCTAGCCCCCAAAGCCATCCCCTTTGCCCTATGCATCTGGATGTTTAAATACCCCTAATGTAAATCGAGGCACCAGCCTCCATCACAGCCTAGGAGTTGGAACCAAGCAGCTATTGAAATCCTGAGCTACCTGCTGGTGTACAAAATTCTTGCTTATTGACTCACATAAGCCTAAGGCATCACCATCTGCACGCCGGACTGGTTCAAAATAAGAACTGGAACCTACGGGCTGACACTTCATGCAGGACACTGATTTGATTTCTTTTTCTAAGTCGTTTTACAGGAAAGGTCTGAAACGTGAGCTCAGCATCCGCTTTCAATGGGCACGGCTGCTGGGAGGAAGGGGGTAGAGCACACAGCACATGACGTCTGCAAATCTCCACCTGCCAGGTGCACTTTCTCCACCTTCAGCAAACTTCTCCACGAAAGAGGAAGTGGGTAAAAGAGTAACAGGGAAACCTGAACCGTCTGCAGGCAGCTGCATGGAGAGGACAGTCTTTTGCTTATGTTGCTATATAATAAATTAAGGGGAAGGAAAAAAAAACCAAACGTCTAAACCAAATCCTCAAATTACATAACCTAATTTGAATATGGAGCCAGGGGCCTGGGAGTAGGGATTCCCAGCTCTGCCACTGTGGGAATTAGACAGGTGACCGAACTTCTCTGTTCTTCTGTTTCGCCATGTGTAAAATGGGATAAGGGTAACTACCTCCCAGGGTGTCAGTTAACGTTTGTAAAGTGCTGCCTCAACCACCCTTAAAAGCTCAGTTAGGGTCCAAAGCAGGTTTCCAGTCTGTTCCCCCTGCGGGAGGCGATCACCCTCTACGCTTAGCTGGGAGTCTCAGCTGGAACCTGCTGCCCCCTCTGCACCGGGGATGGCAAACGCATCCCACTGCTACCGCTGCCTGAATCCCTGTTTCAGGTCAGAACAAAACTAATGTGCCTAGCAGGACCAACAGGC